TTTAAGAATGGTTAGATGTACTCTGGAAAACAGCATGGAGGTTCCTCAAAAAGTTGAAAACAGAGCTACCCTACGACCCAGCAATCGCTGGGTCACTACTGGGTATTTACCCCAAAGATACCAATGTAGTGGCACGTGCACGAAGGGGCACGTGCACCCGAATGTTTATAGCAGCAATGTCCACAATAGCCAAACTATGGAAAGAACCTAGATGTCCATCAACAGATGAATGGATAAAGAAGATGTGGTATATATACACAGTGGAATACTATGCAGCCATCAAAAGAAATGAAATCTTGCCATTTGCGTCGACGTGGATGGAACTAGAGGGTATTATGCTGAGCGAAATAAGTCCATCAGAGAAAGACAATTATCATATGATCTCCCTGATATGAGGAAGCTGAGAGGCAACGTGGGGGGCTTGGGGGGTAGGAAAGGAATATATGAAACAAGATGGGATCAGGAGGGAGACAAACCATAACAGACTCTTAATCTCACAAAACAAACGGAGGGTTGCTGGGTGGAGGGGAGGAAGGAGAGGGTGGTTGGGTTATGGACATTGGGGAAGGTATGTGCAATGGTGAGTGCTGTGAAGTGTGTAAACCTGGCAATTCACAGACCTGTACCCCTGGAGCTAATAATACATTATATGTTAATAAAAAAGAAAGAAAGAAAGAAATTTATCTTGGACTGGGACTGTCAGGGGTAAAAAAAACAAAAACAAAACAAAAAAAAACGCTATAGGCTTATTTCTTTCCAGATTTAAAAAAAAAAAAAATCTCTCTTATGGGAAAAAAAAAAAAAAAAAGAATGGTTAAGATGGGGGTGGGTGCGCCTGGGTGGCTTAGTCGGTTAAGTGTCAGACTCGAGTTCAGCTCAGGTCATGATCTCAGGGTCGTGAGGTCAAGCCCCGAGTCTGGCCCCACACTCCGCGTGAAGCCTGCTTGGAGATTCCTTCTGCCCCTTCCCCCGCACACTGTCTATTAAGTAAATAAAAATATTAAAAAAGAAAGAAAAAGAATGGTTAAGATGGTACATTTTATGTTATGTGTATTTTACCACAACTAAAAACTAAAAAAAAAAAAAAGTTAAAGCAACTATAACTACTATTCTTTGAGACATGAACAAGAATGGGATGCTCTAAAAAAGAACAAAAAATTGCTTTTAGAAGTGAAAAGTTATGGGGCGCCTGGGTGGCTCAGAGGGTTAAAGCCTCTGCCTTAAGCTCAGGTCACGGTCTCAGGGTCCTGGGATCAGCACCACATTGGGCTCCCTTCTCAGTGGGGAGCCTGCTTCCCTCTCTCTCTCTGCCTGCCTCTCTGCCTACTTGTGATCTCTCTCTCTCTGTGTCAAATAAATAAATAAAATCTTTGAAGTGAAAAGTTATGAGAAAGATATGAAAAAAAAAAAAAACTAATGGAAAGGTTGGAAGATAAAGTTGAGGTAATGTCCCAGAAAACAGAACAAACATTTTTAAAAATGGAAAATTGGAAAGAACATTGTGAAAAATGAGAAGACCAGTCCAAGAGGTCCAACATCTGACTAAACTACATCTGCAAAGAAAAAACAAAAACAGAAAACAGAATGGAGGGTATTAACACAAAGAAATGTCCCTCAAACTGATTTCCAGATTAAAAGAGACTGATTTCCAAATTAAAAGACTCACCAAGTGCCCAGAGTCAATGCACATCGCTATGAAACCTACACCTCTGGGAGACCATTAAAACTTTCAGAGGGAGGGGCACCTGGGTGGCTCAATGGGTTAAGCCTCCGCCTTCAGCTTGGGTCGTGATCTCAGGGTCCTGGGATCGAGTCCCACACTGGGGTCCCCGCTTGGTGGAAAGCCTGTTTCTCCCTCTCCCACTCCCCCTACTTGTGTTCCCTCTCTCGCTGTCTCTCTCTGTGTCAAATAAATAAATAAAATCTTTTTTAAAAACAAAATAAAATAAAAATAATGCAAGTATCAAAAAATTAAAATAAAAATAATACAAGTATCAATATGATAGAAATAAAAATGAGTGGAAGAAGGACCACCCCCCAAAAAAATATCCAACTGCACACTAGTCCATAAAACAATGATGGCTGATGCAAAGGAGCTCGTACCAAGGACCAGAGTGAAGAGAACCTGAATAAAAAGAACAGCGGAGCTCTGGATGCCGCTGAGTCCTCTAAGGGACCAAACCTGTCGGAAGTGCAGGTCTGAGACCAAGCCTGAGGGTGTAAGGAGGAGCCCTGGAAGTGAGGCATGGGGGGAGGGAGGGATGAGGGGGGATGGGAGAGGTGGGTATCCCCGCCAATGAGGCCAAGTGAGTTGTGAACAAGGTAACAAATGAGCTCACAATGTCAATTGCAGCTTTGAGGTCCAGGGGACCTCACATAAAAGCAGACTACTGCACACTGATCTCCCACAGCCCTGGGGGCGCCCTCCAGAGGGGATGTCCCAAAGGCAGTGGGAACAGAAGCCACAGCCGCTTAGAGAGGCAGTGAAGGCCCTCCAGGCTGCACACCTACCTGTAGCTCCTTGATCTCTCCTCCTCTGGGAGGCAGGAGGCTCAGGGACCAGATAAAAGGCGTGCAATCCTGGGGACCTACTTACACGAAAAAATGGTGGTTTATCTGAAATGCAGATTTAAGTCTGTGTCTTGCATCTTGTATGTGAACCTAGTAACCTCAGAGGCCTGGACGCATCTCCGTTTTGCACGTCATTACTTCCCTGCTGGGGCCACTCCCACCAAGGCGGGGGACACAAGGCACCCTCACCCGGAGCTTCTACACAGGAGACCCCCAAAGCAAGAAACAGCAGGATTTCTCCATGAGCTACCCCTCTGGTCAAAACCAACTCAAGCCTTTTCCATAAAGGGAGTTGGTTGAATTAATGTCTCCTCTGGCCCAAGAGGCAAATCTAGCCCCATGAAAAGCACTCAAAACATTCATTGTGCTTCTCAGAGCCTGTTCTCTTGTGGGGAAATGAGGCCACATCTTCAAGGCGCGGGAACAGCGGGAGGCTTCCATGTCCTTCTTGAATGAATGTTGATCACAAGCACGTATTAACTTTTATAATCACTAAAAAGCAATAGACATTCCCATATTGAAAATAAAATGAGGCCACAGTAAACCAGATCATCTTTGAGGGCCCCTCCAAGACTAAGAGTCTGCAATTCTAAGTATTGTCTGTTCGTTATTTGCATGTAATTTTAGAAATATTCAGTGATACAGCCTAGTTATGGGTTTTTGTTTGTTTGTTTTGGGGGGGTATTTGGGAGATGGGGGGGGCTTTGATTCCCCCAAGGACTCTGAACTCAGCCATTCACTACTGGTGCCTGCTGACCCTGAACATTGAACAATCTTCCCCCTGCCCCCACTCCCAGAGGTCACTTGGCTTGCCTGGCGGGGCTGAAGCCTCTGAGCTGGTTCTTGACCTAGAAGAATCCCCAGATGACCTGTTCTGAAGCCAAGGAAGGAGCCTGGATGTTGGCTGTGTAAAAGCCCCAAGATCGTGAGACTCCTGGGCCCCGTCGGAGCAGACCTGGGATTCTACAGAACCTATGGTTTAACAAATCCTGAAAGGGGGAGATGCGTCCCCCCACCCAGGGACAACTGTCTCCTAGTACTCCAGTCCCCTCCCCAGTTAAAGCACCCACTGATGGGTCGCAGAGGAGGACAGAAGACCCTCATCTATACGCAGCACTTGTGGACTCCTAGGAGGATGAGGGCCTGCTTCTGGGTCTCCCAAACCTGAGTAGAGTACTAGTCCCACCTCCTACTGGCCCTTTGACCTTGGGCAAGTCACTTAACTGCTCCGAGGATTTCATGAGATAATGAATGCCAAACCCCAGGGCTTCCGGGAGCAGGATCCGAGTTCGCAAACAGGAGTTTTATCTATTTAATCCTCAGAGGGCCCAGAGGTAGCCCTTTGGCCAGAAGGAGCTTTTCAGCTGCAATTCCCACAGACCCAGGACTGCTCCGGAACGTTCCCCCACCCTCAAAACGTATCCCTGTGCTTCCCGGCCAGGCGAGGGGCTCTACTAGGCGCTGGAGCAGTGAGTGCTCTTCCGGCTCAAGCTCAGCAGCCTGGCCCATGACCTTGGAAGAACCGAGGAGAAAGCTTCACCAAGCGACAGTACTTTTCCACTACAGGGCTCGGCCACCTCAGCTGGCTTTCTGCTGTGCAGACTGGAGGCAAAGTGCGCCAGGCCAGCCCCATCAGGAACCCACCCAAAAGCACTCAGAGATGGGGGTAGGGATACGCGGTGACTGACAGGCAGCAGGAAACCTGGAGAGAGGAGGTGGATCCCGAATGCGCCAAGGGGAGCGTGGAGACCACCAGGGAGGTTAGAGAAATGTGCATTTAGCAAAGCCCTCCCGTACATTTCAAAAGATTCCTACTCCTTAACCGCCCCTCCTTCCCCACTCCTTCAGTAAGAAGGATTAGACCCGTTCCACCGCGCCTGTGCCGGGTCCGGGGCGAAGAGCAGCGCGAGCCGGCTCGGGGGAGGAGAGAGAGGAGGGCGAGGGGAGGGGACAAGAGAGCTAGCGGTCCCGCCCGGTGATGTAGGCAGCCCGGGGAGGTGGAGCCGCGACGCCTGAAGGAGTCCCCAAGGCAATCGCGCTCTTGGTTTACCGCTCCGAGCGGCCAGCCGCCAGCCCCAGCTCCCGAGACCTCCCTGCCGCCGCAATTTGAGCACCAGGGACCACGGTTTCCCCTGTTCGGGCCTGGGGGGCGCCTCCACCACGCCCAGCCCCCTCCCCTCTTCGCTTCCCGGACGGCTGGAGCTACTCCCGGGGGGGGCTGTTCCCGGACGCTCGGCCGCCGCCCGGGTATCTCGGCTGCCAGCCCGGCCGGGCACCCGGCATCTCCGGACACCGACTGGCCCCGGCGCCACCCAGCTGCTGGCGACCCCGGGGCCGCAGGCTTCTGATCGCCCTCCCCTCCCCCGGCCGCCGGGCAGGACACCCGTGAGCTCCCCGTGCCCCCAGCCCCTTTGGCCACCGCCGCCGCGATGCTGCCCTGGAGACGCAACAAATTCGTGCTGGTGGAGGACGAGGCCAAGTGCAAGACGAAGAGTCTGAGTCCGGGACTCGCCTACACGTCGCTCCTCTCCAGCTTCCTGCGTTCCTGCCCGGACCTGCTGCCCGACTGGCCGCTGGAGCGCCTGGGCCGCGTGTTCCGCAGCCGGCGCCAGAAAGTGGAGCTCAACAAGGAGGACCCGACCTACACCGTGTGGTACCTGGGCAACGCCGTCACCCTGCACGCCAAGGGCGACGGCTGCACAGACGACGCCGTGGGCAAGATCTGGGCGCGCTGCGGGCCGGGCGGGGGCACCAAGATGAAGCTGACGCTGGGGCCTCACGGCATCCGCATGCAGCCGTGCGAGCGCGGCGCCTCGGGAGGCTCGGGGGGCTCGGGGGGCCGCCGGCCGGCGCACGCCTACCTGCTGCCGCGCATCACCTACTGCACCGCGGACGGGCGCCACCCGCGCGTCTTCGCCTGGGTCTATCGCCACCAGGCGCGCCACAAGGCCGTGGTGCTGCGCTGCCACGCCGTGCTGCTGGCGCGGGCGCACAAGGCGCGCGCCCTGGCCCGCCTGCTCCGCCAGACCGCGCTGGCGGCCTTCAGCGACTTCAAGCGCCTGCAGCGCCAGAGCGACGCGCGCCACGTGCGCCAGCAGCACCTCCGCGCGGGGGGCGCCGCCGCCTCGGTGCCCCGCGCCCCGCTGCGCTGGCTGCTCAACGCCAAGTGCGCCTACCGGCCGCCGCCCGCCGAGCGCGGCCGTGGGGCGCCGCGCCTCAGCAGCATCCAGGAGGAGGACGAGGAGGAGGACGCAGACGCGGAGGAGCGCGAGCGGCCCGAGGTGCTCAGCCTGGCCCGGGAGCTGAGGACGTGCAGCCTGCGGGGCGCCCCGGCGCAGCCGCCGCCCGCGCAGTCCCGCTGCTGGAAGGCCGGGCCCAGGGAGCGGGCGGGCCAGGCGCGCTGAGAGAGCGGCGGGGGGGGGGGGGGGGGGGGGGGGACTTCCGCCCCCCCCCCCCCCCCCCCCCTGTCTCCCCCCCCCACCCCCGGCCCAGCCCCCTTCGGCCCCCTTCTGGTGCCCCGCCCCCCCCCCGCCCCCCCCCTTGCCTCCCTCGTGGTCTCAGTTGTTGTCTACCCCTTGTCTCATCCTGGCTCAGGGTGACGCCTGATATGCCCTTGATTATTGGGGGACAGAGGGGAGGAGAGCAACAGAGTATTCGATGTTCACCTTTCCCCCCACATCCGGAGTTTCTGACTGCCTTCCACCGTGGAATTGTCCATAAGCTTTACAACAGGTCTTTGTCCATAGACCACCCCCTCCCTCCCAAAACAACCTCTCCAAAGAAGGGGAAAGAAGTTTCCAGAAAACCAGGCGGGTGGCCTTGAATGTCGGCCAGGTGGAAGCGGTGGTCCTCCCCTTGGCCAGTCAAGCCTTACTTGCTGGGATGGGACCAGTTCTGGGCAGGCATTCTCATAGAGGACGAATAGTGGCCCCAAAGACCTGAGACCAGGTCCAAAGTGGGAAAGGAGTCCGCTGCCATACTCACAGGCCCTATTCCTGGCCTCTCTGCCCCCTGGAGGACTTCTGGACTTCACTGCTTTGCCTCTGGAGAAGACTGGGCTGGTCCTACCAACCCAAACAACAGGTTAGACCAGGTAACAGCCTTCTGCCTGAGGCAGCTGCTCAAGATTGTGCCCTGGTACCTGGCACCCCCAGAAGACTCCACCCCCCATCTCCACAGACAGATGTGTGGGGCTCCCCACTAGGTGCCTCCAAGTAGGAGCAAGATGGGGTCTCCAAAGGAGGTAAGGAGAACCTCTGGCAGGTGCTTGAGGACACTGACTACCCAGAAAGTGGACACAGAAGAGATGTCCCCCTCCCCCCACCTCCAGTGGAGGCTGGTCAGAGCAGGAGGGTCCTGACAGGAGGTGGGTTCTCATAGCCAGCTGAGGAAGGGGCATGTGTTCACCCAGCAGAGGGAGAGTGTCCCTGCTCAGGTGTGTCTCAAGAAGGCCACAAAAAGCCCAAAGATCTATGTGTCACCAAATGATCATTGTAAATAAAGTGGACCTGCTTTTTCATCCTTGTCTCCATTCTGGTGTTTTGTTTGATGCCAAGCTTGCTGGGGACAAAAATACTATCAGAACTCTAAGGGACAGGACAAGCCCCTAGGAAGGGGTCCCCTTTAGCATCTGGAGCCAAGCGGCAGGATGGGCGGGGAAGGCTGCCGCCAGGAAGCTGTTTCCTTAATGTCAGGGAAGGAGACAGTAGCAGGTGTGACATCACCTGTGCCAAACCTTGGAGGAGTGTCTGCTGTCTGTCTCGGCCTCCCAGAATGTCTGCTGTCTGGGCACTCAGAGGCGAGTGTCTCTGGATATTTGGCAGGGAGGGGGCACGGGGGTGGGGACTTCTCATCAGCCCCACCTCTTTGAGAAGATTCCTGTGTATGTCAAAGCCTGTGGTCTGAGCACGGTGTCTCCCCAGGGATGAGGAGGGGGGCGAGTCATAAAGGAGATGGGGTGGGTAGCACATTTTTCTTTCCAAGGAGCTAGAAAAATCTGCCCAGACCTTTGTGACAGGGTGAATGTTGAGCCTGGATATCTTCTTTATTCCTGTACTGAACTGGGCACCGATCCCAGACTTCTCCGGAGCCCAGACGAGTAGCCTCTGCAGTGGCCGGCCATCAGGACAGTTCTGTTTCCTGGAGCTGCAGGAACAGAGGGTAATGCTGCCACTTCACCGGGCAGAGCCCAGGCAGGGGCAGGGCTCCTCGAAGGGGGAGGCTGGAGATGACTCCATGTGTCGGGGAAGAGGGACGACAGGGACCCACCAGCCAGGATGCCCTGCATGTTCATGGCTCCCCTCTTACGCATCGCCAGCAGTTCTGTTGGTGTTCCTCTCCATTTGCAAAAGGAGAAGAGGACCCGGGAAGATGTCAGACCAGAGAGACCAGGATGCACTGCGGGCAAGGCAGCTGTTGGTGTGTGAAGCAACCTCACCCAGAAACAAGGTCGCAAGTGCACCATCTTTAATCAGACTCATGGGGGTGACGCTGACCCAATGCCTGTCTCGGGACAGGTACTGAGCTGGACACTGGGGGTCCGGGAGTCCCTCCCCTTGGGCTCTTACAGTCTTAGGTGAGATGCACATGATTAAAAGAGCAGAATTGCTGCATAATAATGCACAGGCACCTTCTCAGCCTCAGCTCCTACTCTGCTTTTCTCTGGGAGCCTCCCAAA